ATTCAGGGTCTTTTGTGGTTCCATACAAATTTTAGGATTGTTTGTTCTAGCTTTGAGAAGAATGCCAATATAATTTTGATTGGGATTGCATTGAATGTGTAGATTGCTTTGGGTAGTATTGACATTTTAATAATATTTATTCTTCCAATCCATGAGCATGGAATGTTTTTCCATTTCTTTGTATCTTCTTCAATTTCCTTCATAAGCTTTCTATAGTTTTCAGCATCCAGATCTTTTACATGTTTGATTAGGCCTATTCCTAGGTATTTTATGGCTCTTGGTGCAATTGTGAATGGGATAAGTTTCTTTATTTCTCTTTCTGTTGCTTCATTATTGGTGTATAAAAATGCAACTGATTTCTGTACATTAATTTTGTACCCTGCAAGTTTGCTGAATTCATGTATCAGTTCTAGCAGACTTTTAGTGGAGTCTGTCAGGTTTTTCATGTAGACTATCATATGGTTTGCGAAAGTGAGAGTTTGACTTCATCTTTGCCAATTTTGATGCCTTTTATTTCATTTTGTTGTCTGATTGCTGATGCTAGGACTTCTTCCAACACTATGTTAAACAACAGTTAGAAACCACAGTCTTACAGGAAAGATAGGTTGGAGTGTAACATTCAAAAACATCATCATGGGGGAGCCTGGGTGGCTCAATTGGTAAGTGTCTGACTTCGGCTCAGGTCATGCTCTCGAGGTTCGTGAGTTCGAACCCCACATCGGGGTCTGCTCTGATGGTGTGGAGCCTGCTTGGGATTCTCTCTCTCTCCCTCTCTCTGCCCTGTCCCCACTTGTGCTGTCTGTCTCCCTCTCTCTCTCTCTCTCTCTCTCTCTCTCAAAATAAATAAATAAACTTAAAAAAATCATCAGGGACACATCCACAAGATAGAAACTCCATAAAAACAGTAGCATATTTTTATACGTGCTAAATGGTTATGAAATACAATATAGGTAGTATGGTAAATATGGCACTTTGTCTTGAAAAAGGGTTGAAGTTTGCTTGTGAAAATGGGTGTTGGCAGGTACATGGCTCAGTTCAGCTGGGTGCAGTGTTCTGCAATTATCTGGTGTTTCTCATGGATGAAGTTACATACAAGCAAAAGTAACACTTGCACTAGGCTTGGATGGTTCCCTGTGGTATTCGTCACAACGGAACACATTCAGAACGAGCATCATTGTACACCTGCTCAAGGAAGTCATCCAAAACCAGACTCCTTCTATTTCTCTTGCTCGGAGACCTTTGGTGCACGGCTTTTGTCCCCATGGTATTAAGAGGGCTGATGTCCTTCCAGGTATTCTTTCCACCTTCCAGGCAGAAAGAAGGGAACGTCAAGAGCAAAACACATTTTCTCCTTGAAGAATCTTTGCCTTAGGGAGTGGCCCTTTCCCCAGGGACGTCCCTCTGTCTCTGACAGGTGAGAAGGGTACCACACGGCCATTTCTACTTGCAGAGGAGTCTGGGAAGGTGAGTAGTTTAGTAGGCACATTGCTAGTTAGCTCTCTGTCATCATCACCCACAGGTTTATTAAGAGAGAACTGTAACAGGTCTAAGTTTCTAGAGATAATTTTGTTGAACAAATGTGTTCCTACTGGGGCACCTGGGTGGCTCAGTTGGTTGACAGCTCGGAGCCTGGAGCCCGCTTCGGATTCTGTGTCTCCCTTTCTCTCTGCCCCTCCCCTGCTCATGCTCTGCCTCTCTCTGTGTCTCAAAAAGAAATAAACACTGAAGACAAATTTATAAAAAAACCAAATGTGTTCCTATTCAATTATCTGGAAAGGCATCTGACCACAGAGCCTATCTACCTGGGAGACCTCGAAGAGATGGAAAGACATGTAGCAGATTTGAAGTTTCCTGTCTGCCTGAATATTTCATTTTCAGCCCATGATAGGAATATTAATATTAGTTATCCGAATAAACATCAAATACACAGCAGTTATGTACCAAGCATTGTGCTGGGTACTGAGAAAATAAAGATGCGATGATGGTCATACATAATGCTTAATGAGCACTTAACCTGTGCAAAACAATATTCTGAGTACTGTATTCACATTAGCTAATGGACTTCTCACAATGAGCCTAGGAGGTAGGCTTTATTATTCCTCCCAATTTAAGAAGGATGAGAACGCTGAGGCACAGAGAGGTTAAGTAATATACTGAAAGTCATTCAGCCTGGTGAGGGGCAAAGTCATGATTTCAACATGGGTCTGTCTTCTCAACTGCTGTTGAACCTGTAAGGGGGCCTTATATTTAGTTGTAGAGGCGAAGACAGAAGCAAGTAACCAGTAGCTAGATGCTATTGGCAGCCTGCACAGTACTTAAAACATTTAAAAAGTTAGGTGCCAATATTTAAAAATTGAGGGCTTTTTCCCACAAAAATTTGGATTCTTGATGTATTTGTCAGGGTTCTCCAGAGAAACAGAACCAACAGGATATGTAGGCAAATGTACAGAAAGAGGTTTACAAAGAGATACTGGCTCATGCGATGATGGAATCTGCTGTCTGCAAACTGTTGGTACAGGGCAGCTGGTGGGGTAGTTCAATCCAAACCCAAAGCCAGAGAACCAGGTGAGTCGACGGTACAAATCTCACTCTGAGTCTGAAGGACTCTAAAGCCAGGAGCGCCAATGTCCCAGCTCAAGCAGAGAGAGCAAATCTATCCTTCCTCTACCTTTAGGTCCTACTTAGGGCCTTGGTGGGTTGGGTGACGCCCACCATATTGGTGAGTATGATCTTCACTCAGTCTACTGATCCAAATGCTAATCTCTTCCAGAAACACCCTCATGGACACACCCAGAAATAACATTTTACCCACTCCCTGGGCATCCCTTAGCCTAGTCAAGTTGACACACAAAACTAACCATCACAACTGGCTTCTCTTGAACAAAACTCAGAATATTTGTTAATACAGGAAAAGTATGTACATATGGCAATGCTTAGTTGGAGCTGACTGGTAGCGCCTCACTTTAGGAGGGCAGTTTGTGTCCACTCCCCACACCCCACTGCTCCCTACTGTCCTAGGACTCACCCCCTTTTGCTCACTCATGCTTCGTCCTGCAGGATATTGGAGTTTGCAATCCCTGCACTATGAAGCATGATGCATACAACAGAGAAGATAAAATCAGAGTCTTTTGAAAGTGCAGAGGTTGGGGCGCCTGGGTGGCGCAGTCGGTTAAGCGTCCGACTTCAGCCAGGTCACGATCTCGTGCTCCGTGAGTTCGAGCCCCGCATCAGGCTCTGGGCTGATGGCTCAGAGCCTGGAGCCTGTTTCACATTCTGTGTCTCCCTCTCTCTCTGCCCCTCCCCCGTTCATGCTCTGTCTCTCTCTGTCCCAAAAATAAATAAACGTTGAAAAAAAAAATTGAAAGTGCAGAGGAGAGAGTTGGAGAAAACCGTAAAGCAGGCCATGTCTAAGTTGGGTGTTCATGGCGAAAGTAAGCTTATTAAATGGCAGAGAAAGAAAGGCAATCCTGGCAAAAAGAACAGCACAAAGGCTTAGGAGGACACAGAATACTGTTCCCTACTCTCATGACATTTGAGCAATATGCCATAGTGGGTTATCTATTAATTCATCTGATACTAAAGAAAAGAAAAAAAAAAACCCAAAACATCTGTTCCCTGTAATCACTGTACCCAGCCTGGGCTTTTGGTACAGCTTTAATTTCCCTCTTGTTCTATTGATCAAACAAACAAACAAAAGTTTTTTGGGTTTTTTTTTTTTTTTTTTTGAGAAAAGATTCTTTTTAAGCCAGCATTTTGCTTCCTTGTCTGATGCTTGTTTTGTATAGAAATCAATTTGTTTTCTTTCCAGCGTGCTGGAGAATTTACCTGCCCTGCCCTCACCTCAGTTTATGCCACAGCTTGAGACTCTCATACTGAAAGCTCAGGACAGGCAGGGTTTCTGAGGAAAGCCGTGGGTGAACTGCTTGAATTTGAATCCTGCAGCCATCACCCCAGCTGTGTGTTTCTAGGAGACGTCTGTAGCCTCTCTGGGCTTCAATTTCCTTCCATCTTCCTGGGCAATAACAGGAGTGTCTACATTTTAGAGTTGTCAGGGGTTGTTATCTGAGGAGCAGTTGAACCAACCAAAGGCTTGGATGTGGCTCAGCACACGTGGGCTGTTATCACAACACTACTCAGTGCCCGGCTCTGTGCCAGCTGTTGGGGAAACAGGACAGACGTGGTCCCAGCAGCAGGGGGGCTGAGAGGACAAGAACATTTTGCTCTGTAACCCCCTTGCTTTTTCATCATAGATGGAAATGCCACTATCGCCAGCCCGAGTGTAAATCCTCAGTTCAGACGTGTCGCTCTTTGCTGAACTTTGCTGGAAACTTCATGATGGGTAGATCGACACATCCGTGCACAGACGCTGGGCCATTCCCAGCTGAAATCCTTGGCTGTGCCTCCGCGTGTTTTCATTCCCTTTAAAGAGAGCCCAGCGGTGAGGGGCAAGACGAGGGGAGGGAAAGACGTCTGGCAGGGGATAGACTGGAGATCATATTTAATGTGGCCCAGTGATAAATCAGTGTGTGCGTTGGGCATACATTTTTGCTTAGGGTAGCACAGTCACAACAGATGTATGAAAAATCCAACCAAAACCAAACCAGACAAAACTGCAGGAGAAAAAAAAAAAAGAAAAAAAAAAAAAAAGCAGGTGGTGTTGTCAGCTTCATGCAACTACAACCCCCAACCATGGATTGATTCTTTAAGGCGCCTCACTGTTCTTCTGATGGGGAAGCAAAGGCCCTCGGGTCTTCTTTGTCCCCCCCCCCCCCCCCCCCCCCCCCCCCACCCTGCTGCGTTTTCACTGTGGCGATGCTTTAGCTGTCACCTTTCGGTGACAAATGTCCCCCTTGTGGGTGTTGAATTTATTCAGCTAGTCCACCTAGGAAAGATTACAAATGAGGAACAAGGGTCAACTCTATGAGACGCAGTTGCAAAAGGGAAAAAAAAACAAAGTGGCTCGAGAGCCAGGCTCCAAAAGGGAAGTGCAATGAGACAGATTCAATTCTGACTAGTATGTATTTACAAAGAGAGGCCCGAAGGCAGTAAGAAGGAAACGCAGAGCCTCCGCTCGCTAGAAGAGCGATTAGGGACCATCCGGTGTGCGCTGAGTTAATTGGCTTGCGCCACGTACTATCTGGAATTAATCTTCCGTTTCTTTTGTATTCGTGTCCGGCTTGGGAGGGCTGCATGTGGAAGATGGGTATAGCTGAGCAGATCATACCGTGCAAAAGTAATTCTTTTGAGCAGGCATAGCCAAATGAAGGATGCTCTCTCAGCTAAGAGACTTGACATTCAGGAGGCAATGGAGGGGCTGAGGAATGCAAACAGCTGTTACCGACTGGGCTGTTGACAATAAATCTTGGTCCAAGCTACTCAAAAGTCACCACGCGTTGTGTGGAAAGGCTTCGGCTGTGCTCTTCCCGGGAGGGGGCTTGGCTGGAGGGAGAGAAAGGACAAAGGAGGTCAGGGTGAGAGGAAAAGGTGCCGCGCCTACTCTGTTCCCCACAGTGATGTTCCTTGGAAGGCCGGGGTGGGGAGGGAGAAGCTTTCTGCAGCCCCAGGGCGAAGCTGGTTCCATCCCCCCTCTTCCCTGGGCATCTACGGCGTCTGAGCATTTACTTAGGTATTACCTTCACTCACCACAAGATGTCTGAAAGTTAGGTAACATTCTATTTTTTTTCAATAAGCTTCAAATTTTAGGATAGTTTCAGATTTAGAGAAAAGTTGCAAAGGTAGAACAGAGATTTCAGGACCTCTCTCGCTTTTCCCCATTGGCCATCTCTTACCTCACTGGGGTGCATTGATTAAAATGAAGGAACTGACCTTGTTAGGTCTTTGTGTGGACCAGTTCTCCCAGTAATGTCCTTGTCTTTGTCCACTTGGGATGCTATCATAAAAAGGCCGGGGTGTGAGGGGTTCAAACAAAAGGCATGTATCGCTCACCGCTCTGGAGGCTGGAAGGCAAGATCAAGGGGTTGGTAGATTTGGTATCTGGGGAGGGCCTGCTTTCTGGTTCATAGATGGTGTTGCTATGTCCTCACTGATGGGAAGGGACGAGGTCTCTCTCTGGGGTCTCTTTTGTCAGGGAAGTCCCATTTTGGGGAGCTCCCAAAGACCCCACCCCTTGATACTATCACTTTAGGGGGCAGGATGCAACATGCGAATTTGAGGGGGACACAAACATTCAGTGTCTGGCTGTCCTCCACCTGTTCTGGAATCCCATCCAGGTACCACGCTGCGTGTTACCATCACATTCCCCAGGCTCCTCTGGCCTATGACAGTCTCTCAGTCCCTCCTTGTTTCTCGCATCCTTGCCATCTTGAAGAGCACTCCTTATCCTTTTTCTAACATCTCAAGAAATTAAGCCTCAGAGGGGTGAAGGGACTTTCCCAAGTTCAGGCAGCCTATGGAGGCCATGTCAGATTTCCTTGGGGACACCTTGAGTCAGGGTCTCAGTCTTATGCCTTAGAATCACCAGATGGACTTGCTGGGGCCCCCAGAGTGTCAGGTTCAGTAGCTCTGGCCTGGAGCCAGGATTTGCACTTCTAGCAAGTTCTCAGGTGATGGTGATGGTGCCTTCGGTCCAGGGACCACATTTTGAGAACCGCTGCTTTCAGCCCTGTCCCTTCGGAGCTGTTTATCCAGGTCGAAATCATCAGATGGTTGTCACATCTCCACTGCTCTTTCTGAAGTGTACAAATGAAGTTAGACACTGAAGTGACTTTCTCACCCTGCCTCCCTTCCTCTCCCCACTGTTTTGAGCATCACTGACCCAGGCGGAAGGAGTGTGGTTCAAAGGCATTTGCTACCCTGGGCAAGTAAGAAGTGCATGGTGCTTGTAACCTGGCAGAGACTGGTTTGTGCCCCATCCCGTCACATCTGAGGGCAGCTTTGTGGCTTCATGGGAACGTTAGTCTGCAAAACGTTAGCGACTGATTCCTACTTCAGACGTGGAGCCAAAACAGTTACTGAAAAACAGGAGACTGACAGATGAAACAGTATGAACTCTATGTACTCCCTTGGAAATAGTAATATATTATTAATCTATAGTTTCTTCTTGAGAAGGTTGACATTTATTCATTCGAACTTTATTCTTCCTTTCCTGTTTTGTTTTGTTTTTTTTTTCTGTTTGTTTTTTAATGCTGCTAGAAAACTGAAATGAGCTAGGGGCACCTGGGTGGCTCAGTCGGTTAAGCTTGAGACTTCGGCTCAGGTCATGATCTGACGGTTGGTGAGTTCAAGCCCCGAATCAGGCTCTCTGCTGTCACCGTGCAGCCTGCTTTGGATCCTCTGCCCCACCTCACTCTCTGCCCCTCCCCTGCTCTCGAAGGCTCTCCCTTTCTCGCTCAAAGATAAATAAACATTAAAAAAACAAAAAAAACAAAAAACCCGAAAGGAGCTAAAAGCGAGACCTGCATTTGGTTAACTACCGATTTCGGAATGATGGCACCAAGGAAAATAAATGCACAACAGGGACTTCCTGAAGAGGCACACACACTGATTGAACTCACATTAGTGAATGGCGAAGTAATGCCTTTATGCCCATATAACAGCTTCCAGAGACCTGGCATTTACTGAAGCCCCAGGTAAGAAATCACCATGCCTTCTTAGTTACTTAAAAACAAATTACTTACATTGTATGTTGTTTTCCGGAGCCGTTTGTGAAGGGATAGCTCATCCCCCCCCCCACCCCGCCCCCCACTCCCGAGCTTGACCCTGACACTATTTTTGGTTATCTCTTCACAAGGGACTTGAGGAAAAGAAAAATAAAAACACACAGCCTCCCGAGTACTATCTGGAAAAGTGCTGCAAGTTTTTCGAAACTCTTGAAGAATTCATAACCGTAAGCACTTCCCCAGATTAATGATTAATGCTGTTTTCAAGCTCTCTCCGTATTTCATACTTTGATTAGCAGCGCAACAGGACTTTTAAGTCGGGCCGGATTCCCAGTGAAATAGAGAACTTTAGTCGTTTCTTTTGTTACCCTGCACATCTCTGCTCCTTAATCATTTAAAAACACTTCCAAACCAAGGCAGCGTTATGCCCAGAATTCGCGATCCCTAAAGACCACCAGGAAGCCGAGTCCGATGCAAAAGCAAAGAGCCTTTATTCGAGCTAGCTTGAGCTCAATCCCCTACCTGCACCGATCCAGCGGTGAGATGGGGAGTTTCAAAACCACAAAGGTTTTATAGGGGTCTAGGGGCAGTTGGTGAGGTAGTGGCTGTGGCCTCGGCCGATTGGCTGGGGAAGGGTCGGAGTCCTGTTACGCAGGTCGCCGGGCTGTTTTGATCAGGAAGTTTGAACGGGTGAGTGGTAGGTTACTCAAGGAGAGGAGGCTGGTCTGAGGTTTCTGTGATCTTCCCGGAAAGGGGGCCATGTCGGGGACATAGTCACTCAAGGTGGAGGACACAGAACAAGATGGAGTCGGCCGGCGTAGGCCCGCCCTTTCAGCAGGTTTCCTAAACCAAAGCACATATCATCATGTGCAGGGCCCTGGGGGGCCAGGCGGAGGACCCACTTCTGCGTGTGTTCGCATATTTAATCATCCCATTTGGGGGGAGATAATCAGTTTTAGTTTTCTTAGACCGCGTTCACTTGCTTTTGTTATTTTCTTGACTTCAAAGATCATCCTGACAACTGTTTTTCTTCGCAACAAGGCTGATGGTATTCCTCCAGATCCATCTGATTTCATGGCCTTCAAGGTTGCTTTCATGTATTATGAATTTCTCAATTGGCAGTGTGTATTAGATGGAAACTTACACCTCTTTGTAGAAGTGTTTATCTTGCACAAGTTGTTGCTAGGGTAAAAAGCAATTGAAGGAAATATTAATGTTTCCAGAGGAAGGCAGAAGCATGGTTGGCAAAAGCCTTCTCAGAAACAGTGTGTTGGATCATGCTTTTGAGATGTGTGATGTTTTCTTTTTGTCTCCTGGTGTCTCTCCCGTTCCCCCATTAAGCAGGGAGTTGGCTCTGTGTTCCTTGCCTTGGGGTGGGTTTGGGGCACACTCTCCTTTTCCTCTCTCCCACTTTCAGCATCCTGAACCCATTCAGGAGAAACAGGGTTTGACCACAGAGGGCTTTTCCCCAAACTTAGAAAGGGGCTCTTGCTTAGGTCCCTGGGTCTCTGAACTGGAAGAGCAGCAGAGAGAGCTAGGAGATTTTGAAACAGGAATTGCATAATGCCTGCAAGCAACAGAGACCACCTTCTCCTAATTTTGTGGCTTGAGCTGCTTGCAACGTGGGTTAAAAAACAGAGAAGACTGGAGGCAAGTAGTCCAGAGCTGGTGTGCCAGTGACACAAGGCAATCAGGGACACCTATCTTTTTGTTCCTTTATCCGCACTTTATGGTTTTTCTTTCTCAAGGTTGCCTCAAATTCCAAAGTGGCTACCAGGGCACCAGCCATCACATCTGAATTCTTGGCCACAGGAAGATTGAAAGACTGCTTCTCCCAGGCAAAACAAAAACTCCTTTTGAAAGATCTACTGCAGAAGTTGCTTGTAATACATCTATTGACATCTCCTTAGAACTTAGTCACATGGCTGTATCTAGCTAAAGTGGAAAGCAACTAGCAGTGCCTGCCACACACCTGAAGGGGCTAATGACCTTTAGCAAAGAAAGCTTCATCTGCCCTCTATCTGCATCGGTGAACATGGACCACTAGGCAGAGGGCACTGTGTGCCCTTCGTCTTCCTCAGTGAATTGGCACAATGAAAAACCAGCGGAACCTTACCACACCTTGGGGGTGGGTGTAGGGAAGAGCCTAGGACCTTCAAGCCAAAGGAATGAGGCTTGAGATAGAGATTAAGCAGAGTTATAAAGATAAAGCAAACTTTGATTTCTTAAACGCATGAGTTTGGACAGAGATTTGTAGTAAGTATTAGGGTAGGGTATCTGAGAGCTCAAATCTTCATTTAAATGCTTTATTTTCTTTCTTTCTTTCTTTCTTTCTTTCTTTCTTTCTTTCTTTCAAGTTAAACACCAACACTTGATTTATTGATTTTGTTATAAAAATGCATCACTTGGAAGGCTTGAGCAATATTTTTCTAAAATGACCCTGCTAATTTCTGAGACAGGGGCTGTATATTTTACCTCAGCAGAATGCTTGATAAACCTAGGCACTTTTTATTTGTTAAATAAGTGAATCAATGGTAATCTAAGAGATTTTAGCCCCCCCTGTGTTTTGACATCTATTTGTGTGTCTATATTTGTCAAAACTCCTTTAGTTACACGTTACAGAAATTGAAATCAAAATGGTTAAGACAAAATCTAATTTATGACTCTTACAATTTAAGCCATAGGCTTCAGGCATGGCTGTATCTAGGTGTTTAATGATCTTATCAAAACAAGGCTCTGTATTCTCCAATGAACTTTTCTCTGTATTGGCTCCACTCTCCCCTCTTGGTGGTAGGATGACTGTTAGTAGCTCCATGAAAGCCAGTTGTTTAGCTTTGAGTCCAGAGAGTAAAAATATCATTTCTTAGGCAGCATTTCTTAGGCAGAATGCTCTCTCAACTATTTCATTGGCTCTGATTGTTCTGACTTGGAATTAGAAACCTTCTCCAAATATTTCACTAGAATGTGATAGGCTTTAAGACTCATGCCCACTGTGTCAATCTGGGGCCAGGCAGGAGAAAGAAAACATACTATTATTTGAACAGAAATAATTTAAGACAGGTGGTCAAATCCAGTCTTTGCCTGCTTTTGTAAATAAAGTCTTACTGGGACACAGCCATGCCCGTACATTTAAGTGTTCAGTTTATGGCTGCTTTCAGGCCAAAAGATAAAAGAGTGGAGTTGCTACAACAGAGACTGTATGACTCACAAATCTAAACATTTACTATCAAGGTCTTCATGGAAAGTTAACCAACCCATCTGTAATTTTACATAAACGAGTGACAGCACAATGAAGCCCTGAAAAGGAACAAAAGGAGAAAAGCAGAGTAAACTATCATGGGGGGAGAACCTGCCGGAAGTATCTACCTCTAGGGCTGAAGGAACAGAGGGAAAACACTAGAATTACTAAAACTTAGAAGTTTGGAGAAGAGGCCCCATAGAATGGAAGCTTCAGACCTCCATAGAAGGAATGACTTGGTGCTGGTGTTGGTGTCACCAAGGGAATGTGTCCCCTCTTCCTCCTCCAGCCTGTGGGTTCCCTCGGTGCCCGAATCCAACCGGGAGCAGTGGTGAAGGAGAAATGTGCTTGCGGGGTCCCAGCCCCAGCCTCCCAAAGCGGGGTATGGGAACACGGGCTTGGAGTTGAAATACAATAGCTAAAAAAGCTGGCAAAATCCACTCTGGCTACTCAGTATTCATCCCTACGCTTCTATTTGTATTTGAACTTCTACAGACAGTACAGACAACTCTATGCCTCCACCTGACCACAGACAGCCACTCTGCACTCAAGCAAACGCATGTATATCTGCGATGCTCCCCAGTGTGAGGAGACTCAAAGTCACAACAGTCATCACAGCCATTTGGGGGCTATGTTAATTACTCTCCGAAGTCAGCCAGCGTCTCATCAGAATATTCTGTTACTTAAAGACCAACTTGTAAAGTTAACTGCCCTAACAAGGTTGGATATTAGGGAAGAAGAAAAGAGAGCGCACACACACGCGCACACACACACACACACACACACACACACACACACCAAGCAAGGAAGAAGATAAGCACAGTTCTTCTACAGTCCTTGCTTCTGTAAGTGGTCATGATTGGTTATCATGTGTCATATTCGTGTCATATCATCTCATGTTCTCTTTGTCCTCATCCAAGGGCTCAGCTGGTTCAGTTCTGTACCAGGTGTTAAAATTCAAACTTTCATTCATGAAGGGTTGGGATTATCAACCCTATTTTTTTTTTAATGTTTTAATGTTTACTTATGTTTGTGAGAGAGCGAGACAGAGAGACAGAGTGCAAATGGGGGAGGGGCAGAGAGAGAGGGAGACACAGAATCTGAAGCAGGCTCCAGGCTCTGAGCTGTCAGCACAGAGTTCGATGTGGGGGCTCGAACCAATGAACCACGAGATCATGACCTGAGCCGAAGTGGGACACAAATGACTGAGCCACCCAGGTGCCCCTGGATACTCTCATTTTCTAACTCAATGGAGCTACTGTTGTGTCCTCTGGCGGGAGCACTGCCTCCCTGTAACTAAGACCTCCAAAGCAGCAGAGCTCAAAGTTGGTAGGATCAGGACCAAAAATCCTGCAAGTGGATGTGATAGCGAGAGAGGAGACAATCCCACCTTCATCCCTGGATTCTTGGCCCCATGTGAAGAAAGAGCACCTTGAGATGGTTGCTGCATCAAGGCATATATTGCCTTCCAGATCTAGAACTCCATTCTTTCTGGGCGTTGCCTCCACAATGGCTTTGTAACTAAGCCTTCTGTAGACCATTTCTCTATCTTATTAGGCCTGGGGCACCTAGATGATGGGCATCTGGCAAACCAGTGAACTCCACGGGCAGGAACCTGTGCATGCATCTGTTTTGTTGTGAGACATATTTCTCGATCAGGAGTAATCAATACAGGGGGAAGTGTCATAACGTTAAATAGGGGATACCATAGCTCATGGATGGTGGTACCTGCAAAAACATGGCGGATAGGGAAGACACCCATGTCCGGGTCGTGTGTCTGTTTCAGTGAGGATGGATCTCTGCCCCATCTGCAATGTAGGGGAACTAGTGCTTGTCCTGCCACAAAGTAGACGGCTGTTCCCCGAAGGGAATGATGCAATGTTGAGCTTCAGTGCTGGTCTCTACTGTTGGCTGATCAAGAACCTGGTTAGCATTGGTGGGAAGAAGTCCATGTTGAACTCGTGCATGGCTTCCATCCCTGTCACCTTGGTCTGTTTGCACACAGGCCCAGTGAGCAAGCACGAGGGTGGGTGCTGAAAAGGGCTGAATGACAGCCAGAACGCAGGCCATCTTGCCCATCAGGTTACTGAGAACCCTCTCTACTGTGGATTTAGGTTTCATGGGATCATTCTGATCCTACTCCAAGGTCTCCTCCCATGTATATTTCTCACAGGCTTCCCGGTCGCCAGTGCCCCAGGTGTGTCCTTTCTAAGAATGACCCCACCCAGCCAAGTGATTGGCAACTGCCCGTATATTGGTGTAGCTCCAGGATTCTAATTCTCTCATGGCACAGATGTACTGCCTGGAA